TTTACATCAGACAAACTAGATTTCTTTGTTCTTGTATTGTTTTTATCCTGCTTTGATATCATGGAATGATTTTGAAGGTGTTCCTTCTATTCCATTATTTGTAAGATTTTGATAAAGGCTGCCATTAATTTCTTTTTTAAATGTTTGGTAGAATTCACCAATGAAACCATGTTGTCTTGGGCTTTTCTGTGCTAGGAGATTTTTGATTCCTAATTCAACTTTCATTCTTGTTATTGGTCTAAGAAGATTTCTTATTTCTTGGATTCAAGAGTCATGATTGCATTTTGGTAACTTGTGTGTTTTTAAGAATTACCTGGTTTCTTTTTCTAAGTTATCTGATTTGCGAGTATGTAATTGTTCGTAGTAATCTGTTATCACACTATGTATTTCTGTGGTTATCTGTTGTATTGTTCTCTTCCATTTCTCATTTAGGTTTCTGAGTCGTCTCTTTCTCCTTAATTAAATTTGGCTTAAAGCACTGCCAATTTTATTTTTTGGGAAAACTGGTCCAGTTTCAATGTTATGTTATTGTTTATTCTAGTCTCTATTTTATTTAGTTCTGAGTTTTCTTTGTTATTTCCTTCCTCTACTAAATTTCAGCCAGGTTTCTTCTTCTCCTAGTTCCTTGTGGTGTAATGTTAAGTAGTTTATTTGAACTTTTTTTCTTAATGCAAGCATTGATAGCATAAATTTCACTCCACATTTGCTTTTGCTGTATCCCATAGGTTTTAAAACACTGTGTTTTCTTTTTCCTTTGTTTTGAGACATATTTTGATTTGCCATTTGGTTTCTTATTTGGTCCACTGCTTGTAGAGGAGAGTGTTGTTTAATATTTACACATTAAATATTTAATATTTTTTAAAAAAGAAACAAAGTCAAGATTCCAACCAGAACTGACTGATGTCAAAGCCCATGTTCCTTCTACACTGTGCTTATAATACCTGAGGCCAAGAGAATGCTATACCTTTGACAAATTTATAGAGTTAGCTATTTGTGAGGAAAGTTTCCTTTTCTCTGCCATATTCTTGCCATCCAGAGCCAGTGGCAGAAAGAAGACCACTGAAATCACTTGCAATCCAGTCCTTCTATGTGTGCCTCTTCTCAAGTCCTAGTCCTTAGCCAAGCTTCCAGTCCATCATGTCCCCCTCTGGTTTCTCTAGCCTAATTATAGCTCTTAGAACACTCACTAATTCAAACAATCACAACATCCTGTTGCATTCAAACAAAATTCTCTAAAAACAAGGATAATTACACTTCAAGGTGTTTTATAAATAATGAAAAGATAATATCTCCTTAAATTCATACAATTGGTGCTCTTCCTTCTCAAAGAACTTTACAACTATTTCCTAATTGGTGCTTTAATATAATACTAAATGCCTTTTACCCCTTAGAAGCAAAAGTGTCTGAGGGTAAAGCAATTCTGACTCTTGCTTGATGGCACAGGGGGTTCTGACCCTCATTTTGGGGACTGCAGCCTCCTGAACATGATGAGGATAGAACAGAAAGTAAAGTGAGAACAAAGGCTGGAAATTAATGGAAATCTTCCCATCTACTAGCCATGCAGCTCACAAGGCACTTGTTTTGATAAGATGTTCCTTCAGCCATATAATTTGGTATTTTAAAGGTGGCTTCCATCAATTATGATAATGTGGTATATGATGTAAGGGAAGGCTGAAATCCCAGTGAACTATATTATACAACAGCTGACCTCACACTAAATGAAAGACTAAGCCATGAGTAAACGCACATGAGGTTGCTGCCAACCAGTCCTCTACAACATAAGGAAATGGTTCAGATGATGCTGGTTTTTTAAAATATTAATATACAGTCATTTATTGTTATTCTATTTTTAAATTTTTTTTATATATTTTTATTCAAGTATAATTAACATACGGTGTCATATTAGTTTCAGGTGTCCAATATGTTTCAACAATTCCATACATTACTCAGTGCTCTTAATTCCCTTCACTTATTTCACCCATTCCTCCATCCACATTTCCTCTGGCACCCCCCAGTTCTCTGTATTTAAGAGTCTGGGGTTTTTTGTATATCTTTTTCTTTGTTTGTTTTATTTCTTAAATTCCACATATGAGTGAAATCATATGGTATTTGTCTCTCTCTGACTTATTTCATTTATGATTATACCCTCTAGATCCATCCATGTTGCTGCAAATGGCAAGATTTCATTCTTTTTTACGGTTGAGTACTATTCCATAGTGTGTGTGTGTGTGTGTGTGTGTGTGTGTGTACCACATCTTTATCCATTCATCTATGGACGGACATGGGTTGTTATATGGAACTGTGGCCAATTTCATCTACTGTTTTATTGTAACTTGTTGTAATCGTTAAATAATGTAATACTTCTCTATTAATTTCTCATATTATTTGAAGACTTTCTTTAAGGATTTCTAATGACAATTATTTACCTGAAAACATGGTCTCTGGGGAGCACAACTTCGAAACTAAATCTAGAGAAATACATGATACCCTTCTTGGGTTCCTAGAGCTGAAAGACACACAACTGTAATTCAAACTATTCTGTACAGAAATGTGACCACAAGCAACATTCAAGAAATCAGCTCTTAGAGTCAGTAAGAAAAAAAGAGACAAAATTCTTGACAGATGGGCTTTAAAAAAATTGCAACAACAACTTAAACCAGCCTCCTTAAGGCTTATTTCAATGTCCTGGACAACAAAAGAATCCAGATTGACCTTCAGTATGAAACTTTGGTTCTCTTTTGGTTTAAGGAAGATGCTTGATATTTTGGTAACTGTTCCTATGTTCTAATCATTCCCTTAGGCAAGAGGAACTCGTTTCTTATAAGAAAGCCTCAGACACTATTATGGACTGAATGTTTATGTCCCCCCCAAAATGCGTATGCTGAATGCCTAACCCTCAATGTGATGACCGTATTTGGAGAAAGGCTTTTATGGAAGTAATTAAGATTAAATGAGATCATAAATATAGGGCGTTGATCTAAAAGCAATAGAGTCCTTATAAGCAGAAACCCTAGAGTTCAGCTCATTCTGTCATGCGTGGACATAGTGAGAAGGTGGCTGTCTGCTTTCACAGGAACCAAAACGGCTGGCACCTCAGTTTTGAACTTCCCAGCCTCCAAAACTGAGAAAATAAATTTCCGTTATTTAAGCTCCCAGTCCACAGTGTTTTGTTATGACAACCCTAGCAGACTAACACAGATACCAAATTAAAAAGAAAATATCCTACAGGTTGAATGAGAACCATAGAACAGAAGAATACCTGCAACTAAAAATCTACAATGGAACTTGCTTGTATAATTTTTTCAGTTGGACTCCATGCAAGAGTCCAGTTAAAGATCCTGCAGAACCATGACATGGCAAAAGGATGACCTGACTTCTTTTAATTGTCTTACATGTTTAACTTATCTTAATAAAAGACTTTCCTGCAACAACAAGAATAAAATACCTAGGAATAAAATTAACCGAAGAGGTAAAAGACCTCAATAGCAAAAACAAATAAACAAAAAATTCCAGTTGAAAAATGAAGACATACAAATGGCCTACGGGTGCATGAAAAGATGCTCAGCATCAGTAATCATCAGGAAAATACAAATTAAAACCACAATGAGATATCACCTCACACCAGTCAGAATGGCTATTTATCAAAAAGACAAGAAATAACAAGTGTTGTCAAAGATATGGAGAGAACCCTTGTGCACTGTTGGTGGGAATGTAAATAGGTGCAGCCTCTGTGAAAACCAGTATGGAGGTTCCTCAAAAAATTAAAAATAGAACTACCATATGATCTAGCAACTCCACTTCTGGGTATTTCCTCAAAGAAAATGAAAACAGTAACTCAAAAGGATATATGTATCTCCATATTCATTGCAGCATTATTTACAAGAGCCAATATATGGAAGCAACCTAAGTGTCTATTGATGAATGAATGGATGAAGACAGTGTGGCGCATATCTATATATATATACATATTATATATACTATTCAGCTATTAAAAGAATAAAATCTTGCCATTTACAACAATAAGGATAGACCTTGAGGACATTATGCTAGTGGAATAAATCAAACAGAGAAAGACAAATACCAGATGAACTCACTTATATGTGGAATTAAAAAAAAAAAAATTGAACTCCTAGATACAGAGAACAAATTGGTGGTTATCAGAGGCAGGGGGTGTGGGTACGCAAAATGGGTGAAGGGCATCAAAAGGTACAAACTTCTAGTTATAAAATAAATAAATCACGGGGATATAATGTACAATTTGGTAACTACAGTTAATAATACTATACTGTATATTTGAAAGTTGCTAAAAGGGCAATCTTAAAAGTTCTCATCATAAAGAAATTATAACTATGGTGACAAATATTAATTGGACTTATTGTGGTGTCTATTTCACTGCATATATACATGTATCAAATCGTGTACATCTGAAATTAATATAATGTTACATGTCAATTCTATTTTGCTAAAAAATAAATTTTTAAGTTAAAAAAAAAAAGAATTTCCCACAGAACAAAAAGTCTTGCTCATCTGTATGTTTACATTATTTGGCATTCACAGGTCAGTACCTAAAGCTACAGTGGAACCCCCAGTGCTCCACAGAAATCCTAATGTGTCAAAGACAGTTAGTGCTCATCAAATATTCCACAAACTCCCCTATATTTCACAGTACATCTGGGGTCATATAACTAATTCTAGCCCAAGGACTCTGAGTGGAAATGCATGTCACTCCCAGGCCAAGGCCACTGAGAGCCAATGCACCTCTACCATCTCCGTTTTCCCGCCCATACCCAACACAGAAACCACATGTTCCAAATTCTATAGCGGCAAAATGGAATAGGTAATAAGAAGAAATAAGCACTTCTTTGGTAAGCCCCTGAAATGTCAAGGTTTTATTTGTTGTGGCAGCTAAGAGTAATTACCCTAACATATCCTGAAACTCTGATTCTGCAGATTTTATTACTTCAGTGCTATTTGAAACTTGAACGTAGACTTAAACCTACCTGTCAAGTTGCGACAGACCATCAGTAATTGAACACGGAGGTAACTGGGTATATCAAGCATCAGTGTCTCCATAGGAACCACTTACTAAACTTCTTTTCTGTTCCTTGGTCTGAGCTACATGATGTAGAGAAACAACAAGGAGAAAAGACACAGTTTAGGCTCTCACAATGCTTCCGGTATTGTAACCAGCAAGGTTTTAGACTCCTGCCTCTCCTAACCAGGATACTAGAGCTCCTTTGTTTAAGGAATTACATAATTATGCCACACTGAGATTTTATACATACCTAGAATGATGATCACATGAACCAAGGAAATAAGAAATGAGGACTTAATTGATGTCATGGGATTCAACTGCAATTATAGCAATAAAAATCATAATTTGGTTTATAGTAACTTTCTCTACCACATCTCTGCCAAAGTGCTTAGGGCTTATAAGGGTAATTAAATATAATCAAAGAAAATAATGCTAATTAAAACCATAAGCTAGAACTATGGTGATGGTTAGATTAATGGACATCTTAGCTAATGGCACATTCCCTTATCTTATTCCAAAAGACCAAGCAAGGAACCTTCTTTTGTCATTCATCTTCTTTTTACTAATGGAGAAACCGAAGGACATGGAGGCTGTCTGGATGGAAAACATGGAAGACAGACCAGACAGAAACCCATGTGGAATACAGAGTTTATTTATGGGTCCATGCTCCCTCACACCCCCATGCTCTTTGCCTTAGTCCCTCTCCACTGCCATTCTCAGATGTCACTTTCCAGTTCTTGGAAGATAAAAAGTTTATTTTTGTTGTTTTGGTTTTGCCTCTTTTGTGTCCACGGTGTCTACCTGATGCCTTTAAGTGACTAGAAAAACCAGGAGTACTGCCTAGTTCTCCCGTGACCCTCCTCTACTGGTTTCTTCCAGTGTCTACTTTTGAAAGGAGAAGAGAGAGAGAGAAAGAAAGAGAACGATTTACTTAATGGACCGTCCCCCTCTAAGGCCCAATAGAATCCTAATCATCAAAGCCTGATACAGCAACCTGTCAAGAGTGTGAACTGACTGGCTTATAGTAGGTCAACTTTCTCTACTGGAACCTCCCTTTGCTCAAAATAACTTCTCTTATATTGTCAATTGCTTCTTCTAGCTACTTTTAAAAAGCATTACAATTGCTTCCTCTGAATGTCTCAGGACAGAAAAAAAATCTCATTAGATAATGTTGTATTAAGAAAAAAAAGAAAAACAAAAATATTGAGCACTTCCTACACAATGGGTCAAACACAGTTTTATTTGTTATTATGTGAGTTTACTCAACTAATTAACTCACAAAAAATGATGAAGTATAAATATAGGTGTGACATTTGTTCAAATATAGCACTCAGTAAAAGTCATCAGCATGTGACATTAACACTAAAACATTACAATTTTTATAAAGTCTTCCCCTGAGAAGATTCAGTTCTTCAATCTTCTTTATGAAGTCCCAAAATACCGTGAATCTTACACTGACTGAGGGTGTTTTTCCATGTGCATTATTCCAAAATATGCCAGAAGGAATCAACATGCCCCATAATATGAAGGAAGCTTATTTTGCAGGGTGTTTTCCCCACATAATCAGAAAATAACTTATATTCATCCACTATTCGACAGTGAATTACATTGAGGCAGATTGAAAAGAACATGGAACTGACAAGTATCTACACGCTGAACCTGGCTTTGTGCTTGAGTCAGCTGTGACACTTGAGGAAGTCACTTTACCTCTGCTCTGACCCACTTCCTCATCTACCAAGTGAGAAACACATTTCCACATTATCTGTTTTGACTAAAAAAGCTAATTTAAGATACACACTCTTAGGATACATCCATTTAAGATTATTTGCCATTTCTTCCTACATCTCCCTGTTTCCATCATTCACTAATCAATGATCAGTCACCTACTGAATGTCAGACCCTATGAGGAACTACATGGCTCTACAGTGTTTTGGGGATACAATATATAACATTATCTTGTCTACAAGACCATAATTGGGTAGGGGGGAAGCAGTCACGTAAACAAGTAACTCTAATGCAGTGTTACTGCTACAAAAGCGGGAGGGGCCAAGTGCTGCAGGAGAACAAACAGGAGTTAGAGTGGCCAGACAAGGCTTCAGAGAAGATGTGACATATGACTAGTGCCTTGAAAATGAGTATCTCATATTTTTCTATAAACTCTCTCTCTCCACGTAGCACTACTCTAATGGATATCTGGTCTATTTTCATGATACATTAAAAACCAGTGCTTCACCCAATTTGACCATGGCCCTAAGTAAAATTTCTTCTGACTATACCAGCAACCCCGTTGCCAAAACCAAAACCATATTTCATCTCTTTTGGCGTGACAATGGATCCAACCATTACAATGGAATATGGAAGTGGCTTGAAGATATAAACAGAGTCAACTGAAGTCATCCCAAGAGCCCACATTGCCTTTTATCATAAAAAAAAAAAAAACATTTAACTCCATTTTTAGGAGCCTGTAGATGCCCATAGATGCTTTTACAGCTTTCTCTAGTTTGTATACCCAAACTCCTGTGTAAAGAATTCCAGCCAAAGAATTAAGCTTCAATTTCTCTTTGGGGACATTCTCAACCTATAAGGACATATACTAACACATATGTGACATGGTGGCTCAAGCATCTCTATTAGGCAATCCACAGTGCACACTCCAACCAGCCCCTATCGTACACTCATAGCAACACATTCAAACCAAGCCAAGTAACCTGTTTCTTCCTATCAACAACTGCATCTGGGTAGTATCGGTGAGGAAAGGTTCACACGTAGCTGTGGCAATATGCCAAAGTGAATGGAGTAAAATCATAAAGACATGTGCACCGTGGGACTCTGTAGAGGGAATCTTAAATAGAATAAAAATTATCCTTTTGATATTAAAAATAAGTCCTCAGGGACACCTGGGTGGCTCAGTCGGTTAAGCATATGACTCCTGGCTTCAGCTCAGGTCATGATCTTGGGGTGGTGAGATCGATCCCCACGTCAGGCTCCATGCTGAGTGTGGAGCCTGCTTGGGATTTCCCCCCCACCCTGCCCTCAAAATAAATATATAAATAAATAAGTCCTCAAATCTGACAAGAGTTCATTAAAAGGGGAAATACTGATGCACTATTATCAAGGCTGTGGGAGATTACAATCTTTGCGGAAGGAATTTATTCACATGTATCAAGAACTTGAAAATGCTCATACTCCTGGCCACAGCTACTAGAACATAATGCTATTTATGGAAAATTCTTTATGCATGAAGATGATCATCACAGGATTATTTACAGTAATAAAAAAAGTACAATCCAAAGTTCAACAAGACAATGATTTACTAAAATTATTATATACCTATATATTAGTATAAAATAGAACTTAACAAAAGGTTTATAAACCCTTGAAAATACTTAATTTAAAATATTAAGAAATAAATCGAAATATAAAATTGAGTGAACAGTTGAATTTTGGATCACAATTCTGCTTTAAAAATGCACAGATACAAGAAATTCACCAAAAAACTCCCAGTGATGAGCTTTGAGTGAAGAGTTGACAGACATTTTACTTTTTCACATTTTCCATGTTTTCTTTAATAAGGTTCAGGGAATAAATTAAGTGCATTAAATACAATAACTCAAAATAGCCCTGTTTTTTTTTTTTTTTTAAAGATTTTATTTATTTATTTGAGACAGAGAGAATGAGAGACAGAGAGCATGAGAGGGAGGAGGGTCAGAGGGAGAAGCAGACTCCCTGCCGAGCAGGGAGCCCGATGCGGGACTTGATCCCGGGACTCCAGGATCATGACCTGAGCCGAAGGCAGTCGCTTAACCAACTGAGCCACCCAGGCGCCCCTCAAAATAGCCCTGTTTAGGTATGGTGTTAGATATTCATATCCACAGACAGCCAGACAGATCAATGACCAACATGAGCCAACACAAAATTCAAAAGAATGTCAGTGAACTGAAAAGCTAAGGGAGGCACAGTAATATAAAACAGGAAAGTCAGGGGCGCCTGGGTGGCTCAGTTGTTAAGCGTCTACCTTCGGCTCAGGCCATGATCCCAGGGTCCTGGGATTGAGCCCCAATCAGGCTCCCTGCTCAGCGGGAAGCCTGCTTCTCCCTCTCTCACTCCCCCTGCTTGTGTTCCCTCTCTCACTGTGTCTCTTTCTGTCAAATAAATGAATAAAATCTGTAAATGAATAAATAAATAAATAAATAAATAAAACAGGAAAGTCAGATTCCCAGAACTTATGAGTAATAAGAAGATAAATGCAGAGAAAAATTGCTATTAGAAATGCATCCGATTTTCCAAATAATCTGCAAGACAGATGAATTCAGAATGTCTCTGTTAATGAAGTTTAATTTGACCAAAAGACTAAAGCAATTAATTCAACAAATCTTGACTAGAACCTGTTGTATGCCAGGTACTTGTCCATGTGTCTGGGACACAAAGAGAAATATGACATTGTCCCTGCCTTCAAGACGCTTAGCAGAGTATGGTTCAGTGCTATAGCTTTTATTATATTTGGATTTCATTAATGCAGGTACCTTCCCCAAAACTGCCTAAGGATAAGACATTTTTACATATTTCATTTGGACTAGTGGGAAGGAAGGACGATTAAATTCCAAACAACTGACTGATGAAAGAGATTAAAATTTGGAGTTGGGAAAATCAAGTTAAGAGTTCAATAATTCATGTTGAGATTCTACAGCTGCTAACACTAGAAGAGGCTGGAGGAAGACATCAGCTCACCAGAAGGGAGTCAGCTGGCCGAAACCCTTTGTGGAGTGCCCACAGCAGCCTCAAGCAGTATAGAAATATTGTGAAATGGTGCCCCAGAAAACAGACCACTGACCTCTTCCACAAGAAACTTCCACATTGATTTGGGAAATAAAACACACAAAAGCAAAAGTCAAAGAAAATGTTTACAAATTTTGTTTGTCGATATGTCCAAGTGGAAAAATAGGGCACAGAAGTAAAGAGGGCACCACACAGAACAGGGACCATAATCTAGGGTGTGAATCATAGAACGGTGTATTTGAAGCTGCATTCTGAAGGTCATGCGTGACAGTGACAGAGAAAAGAGAAAGGAATGGTGCACTCG